ATTATTATTATTATTATTATATGTGTGCTTTTACTTCAACAGAGTGCCGCACATAAGAAATACCGAACGAGGAACTAGTGTATCGAAAAGTGTCAGAAGAAAATTTCAAAGATGGTGAAAAATTAGAGGCCTGGCATAAAAATATGATGTTTGCCATGTAGATTAATAAAAAAACTAGAAGCAGGAAATACTAGCGTAGTTGTGGGTTGCGTCTACCGAATTTGTACTAATAATGAGGAAAGTAATTTACGCGACTATTTAATTGAGTGATCTGCAGTGTATTTTGGGCTCCATCTGGAGTAACTAAACTGGCATACGAGTTAGCGATTGAAAATGGAAAAACATTTCCTGAAAAGTGGCACGATAATCGAATGGCGGGTTAGGAATGTTTGACGGGTTTTTCAAAACGACACTCGAGCCTGTTTTTGAGATGTCCTTAAGCAACAATTCTGTCGTGGGGCTTCAAGTTTCAACGAGTATAATGTGGGTGAATTTTTTTGATAACCTTGCTGAGGTAATGGATAGGTACCAACTCGAGCCAAAAGATATCTGGAATATGGACGAAACAGGGGTGAGCACTATCCAAAAACTTTGTGAAATTGTAGCTCAAAAAGGAATTAAACAAGTAGGTGTAGTAACCTCAGCAGAGTTTGGAAGATTAGCAACTGTTGATGTTGCCATTATTGCTGAAGGAGGACACATCCCGCCTTTTTTCGTATTCTCACTGAAACGATTCCAAAACCACATGATACGTGAGGGTCCTTTTGGTTGTGCTAGAGATGGCAATGCTAGCGGATGGATGCAGGACTCGACAACCATGCATCGACAACTGCTCGACAACCATGCATCGCATATATCTATCCTAGCTCTAGATTTTTGTAAATAAAATGAAATAGTACTGCTATCGTTTCCACCCCATTGCACACACAAACTTCAGCTTTTGGATAAAGCAGTTCTTGGGCCATTTGAGAAAATGATAAACATCGCTACAGACAACTGGATGCGAAATCATCCTGGTCAAACGATAACTATTCATTACATTCCTGATATTGTTAGAGAAGTATTTCCTCTTTCTGTCACTGATAGAAATGCAATTTCTGGATTGACCTGTACCGGCAAAAGTCCATTTAATGGGAATATGTTTACTGCTATTGACTACGCGCCATACTCTGTAACTGATCGGCCGTTACAAGTTAACAGACAAATTCCACCATATGATGTGTTGACTAGTTCATTCAAGTTGATCCAAGTACTTCAGTTGATGATCTTTCAACATCAATTGTCCATCATACAGATAGCAATGATTTGTCAAACAATAATGACTAACCACCGTCTGTTAGCTAACTCAACTTCTGATCAAGATCCAAATCACCAGTGGCAGGACCTAGCGAGCTGCAACATGCATATTTTTGGCAATAGTCGACTAAATGAACAATGGATACAATGTATCGAATGTAAAATGTGGTTCCATGTGAAATGCGTGGGTGATGATAAGAATTATGTGTGTCATAATTGCGATTCTGAGTAAGAGAATAATGACTGAATTTTGAGAGTCTGATTGTAAGAGAATGATTAACATTATCCTTAATTGATCTCATTACTTATACAAAAATTAATTTTTATTGATTTGTTTTCTTAAAAGATATAATTTTCAACATTTAAAATACAGAAGTTGATTTGTGTTATTGATACAAAGTCTTTAAATAAATAATTCGTTGAATTACCATGTATATTGTATTCCTTACCAACCCCTTAGTCTTGTTACTTTCGACCCACAACGTGTTAATTTCGACCTGCCTACGTGGTCGAAAGTAACAACTGATGTTTTTTTTTAAAATTTTTGTTATAAATATAAAACATACAATAATATAATAAATCGACTTACTACTGTAAAGAACATACATTGAATTTGTACATGGTTGTATTGGTTTAATGAGAACAGTTATGAGAACAGAATAGTTATAGAAATCAAGGTAAAAGTATAAAGTGTTACTTTTGTACCCGGTCTCCCCTACCTTCCACTACTCTAAAGATTATGGTGGCATTGCCAAAATAATCAGTTTTGGTTCATATACGATAGTGATAGTAAGCGAAGTGAACCAGGGAAATAATAGGTAATGAAATCAATGAATTTTTATTGAAGTAGCGTTTTCTATGATATTTTTGAGTTCCTGAGTGAAGTCGTTAAGAATTCAGAGACTTCTGAGACAACAATATGACAATTTATTTTGTTCTTAGTTGAACTATAATATACTATTCAGTTGAATATTAATTTTTTTTCGGGAAAATTATAAACTTTTTGACAAAGAAGTTAACATGACCTTTTCTTTTAGCATAATCAACGAGGTATCATAATCAGGTATTTTTTTATTCACATATGAACGCATGAAGATTTATTAATAATTTATTATGAATGGTCTAATACTTAATCGTTTTATGATTTGTTTTGTTTTGAACTATTTTGTTTTTGAATAGTAATGAAAGCAGTTCAAGTAATTTCGAATATCATTAGAATACAAAAATATAACAAAATTCAAAGTATATTTAAAAAATAAGGGTTTATTTACTCATCAAAAAGTGAATTATTTCATGGATTGAATTGCCATGATCTTGAAGTGTCATGATCTTGAAATAATAATATTGTTGATAGGTGAAATCTGTTGATCATATATGTATTTTACTGAGTTTTCGTCCTAGGGCATGTGAAAATAATAAATATTATTATTTGTCACGTGTTGTTATTGTCATAGTAGTGACTTTTCAATAAACGGTATTTTGTATATTGTTTGATTATTGAACTAGATAGAAAGAATTATGTACACTTCTGAAATAATCACATGTACTTATTGTGCGTCAAACATATTAGGCTACTTGTACGTAATTCAAAACATTTAAAAGTTCAAATCATTAACTTTCGTAAGATTTGAAACACTTAGAGTTGATATAAGGATAAAAAAATCAATGTTTCGAGTCAAATTCAGATGAATCCAAGTATTTTATTTTTTTAACCCCCTCACTCTGACATCAAAGCGGAGTTTATTTTGCCACAGAAATTTTGAAATAAATCGAGTTACTACGTTTTATAATATTACTGGAGTTTTTTTTCCAACACCAAATCGTTATTTTTAACACCTCGACACGTATTTCGATCACCAAGTGATCATCTTCAAGAGGAAGATTGAACTAGAAACTAACGCGAAGCTAACGCTATTTATGCTATATAGATATACCATACAGGTAAACCATACAGGTATACCACCCATACAGAAATGCCACCCATACAGGTATACCTGTATGGGTGTACCACCCATACAGGTATACCTGTATGGGTGGTACACCCATACAGGTATACCAGGTATTCAGTGTAGCTGAAAGGACTGTTATATTGATTGGAAACGAAACATTTGAGGAAACCAAATGGTATAATCCAAGTATAGTATCGATAAATGTAGCAAGACAATGAGATTAATGGAAAGGTGCAGTAAATAAATTAGTGACGGAAGATATTCTGTCTAAAAATCTGTTTTGCCGTTAACCAGCTGTCGCACCCCTACGAACGACAACCCTCAGAAGTCGAAACTTGTGCGAGCTA